AAGACTCTGCGAAACCAGTAATAAGACTGATAAAGAGTGAAGGTTGGAGGGCATGAGGCTAGTAACCCTATCCCATAAAAATAAACATCAGTGTTATCGAAACTTCAAGCTTGAAGCCTTATGTCCCACTGGGAACATAAAGAAAGAAAAGAAACAGTTTTTAGATATCAACACCATTCTGAGAAGAGAACATTCGATATCCATTTAGACGTCAGTATTATTTATGCGATTCAGTAAATGAACACTAAAAATGAAGTACTCAAAACTATCCTTTTTATTATTCATCTCCTGAAATCTGAATGGAATATAAAGCCTCAGAATCAAATCTCTATTCTACTTGCACTCTACTCGAACTCACAAATTCATGTAAGAGTTTAGGGAGAGTTATCATCTGAGGTGATGAAAACCAGTGGTGTCCGTTAAGGATGCCCAATGTCCCCATTTCATTTCAATTTTAGAATAAATGTACTAATGGAATTAACCCTGACTGACTTCAGTGACTTAGGGATTGAATCATTACTACGGAATACTTCTGCTGACTTAGAAGATGCGGATAATATCATCCTCCTAGATGAAAACGCTGACGAAATGCAGAGTCTTCTAATTAGCTTGAGAGGCGATCTGCGAAATGCTTGGCATGCGATTCGCTCCCTCCGTCAAATGTAAGATGATGCTTCAGGACTGGCCTACATCGCCTCACTTGTAGCCTAAAGATAAAGGGGGAATGAAACGGCAGAGCGTGTTGACCACTTCACTTATTCGAGAAGTTGTATCATCCTCAATGAGCTGATCACTGATGAAATCTCAGCACAGATGCAAAACACCCATGTGACAATTGCCAACTTAATTCATCTACGGCATAGACATAATATCCGGCCATCCACCAAAGGTTGAGTGTACTGCTCAGCAGTTTGCCTCGTCCTAGTTGTGAGAAAAGATCATTGAGAGTGAAAGAAATGAAAAAAGTTAGTTGTCTTTGGTCACAGGTATCTGCGCCCTATCTCCTATGCTAGGTGGTGTTATAATGGAGTGAGTAATACTGAAGTTAGGAGTCAAGTGTCAGGTAAAAAGGGGAAATCAGTCGACTTTCGTTGTGAAGGTACCCTGACTGAAATGGCGAAGACATGAGTTACACATGCAAAGCCATCGCCTAACTAAACGAGAAATCTTAGCTGTTATTCCTGTCAGCGAACTTGTGTGGGAGACCATTTTCTATCAAGATTACTCAGAAATTATCCAGTTCTTCGCAAACAGATTCCTCATTACATATTTTACGCATCCTTGTGGAAAGTGAGTAGATGAAATTTCTATTTCTACTTGGAGGGACACAGGTGTCCTTTCCATATTGGTCTTTTGTATAAGTGTTATCATCTCTCAGAGTCTGATTCAACTTTTATAGTAGAATTGATGTCCAAGTGGGCATTAGTGAAAATTTCAGGTGGGTTTGCCAGATCCAGTTTCTCATTATAAATAATGAAGGCACCATCGATATATTACTTTTAAAGATGAAGCTCACTGATAGCTGATGATAAGAAATTGTTTCCCATGCCAGCCATAAAATAGTCAGCCAAGAAGGGTCATACAGAAGAACCTATTGCTGCTCTGTCGACTTGCCTGTTGATTTTGCTGCCGAATATAAAGTATGCGTTGATAGCACTGCTTTAAATAATGAACTGGTATGCCGGTATCAATGCTATTTGATGGAATGAAGCCATAAAATCATCCAGTTTCTGTCAGTGGAACGTTGATGAATGGAGAGACGAGATCTAAGAAGACCATTTTTCTCTTTGAGATTGGCAATTTTAAGCCAGCCAACAAAATCAAATGTTTCCCGGAGATTGTATCTCGACAGCTTTTCTTTCATCAGTCCAAGAATTTCTACCAGCCACTTTGCGATTAAGTGATATAGGGAATTTTTCATATTGAATACTTGGGGGAGTGGAACATCTTATCTCTTAACCTTAGGTAAGCCGTACAGGTGTGACGTTGTTAAGCCAGATGAAAGAGGCTGTTTTTAAAGCTCCGCACTAATAATGGATTCATCTTTCACCTCCAGTAATTTTTTTAACTGTTCGGTGGAATGTTTCTGAAACGAAGTTTTCTTCAAAAATTTCTTCTCATCAAATAGAACCAATGAGAGTTTATCTAGATCTTTATCCTGTTGTGTCACGATCTAATCTTCGCGTCATTTCATTCTTCTTCAATTCCTTTGGCTAATTCCCTGTTCATCGGACAACATATTACGGAAGCTAGGTGTTTTATTAACGTAATTGAGACAGCAGTTTAAAACAGTTGATTTGAAGTGGTCTACATTTTATCATGAGACTGAAACTGAATCATTTGTTTGACTAACTGGGTTCGTGAAATGAACTTTAGTGTTCATTTGGCTGACTCTTGATGTCGCATCATAGAAGTTAGGTCTAAGTGCCAAGATTTCCATTTGAATTAACGATAAGGAGACATCAAAATAATCAATCACGTATTTTCCAGGGTAAGGAGGAAACGTTGTTTCCTTGGTGATACATTTTAGACTCTGGTTTAGTTTCACAACTATTTTCGATAAATATTACCCCACTAGGCTTTTCGCACAATCTTCCTGTTGGTTTTATTATTATTACCTTTTTTAGCCCAACTTGTAATCTTGTTATTCGTTATAATTTTACCTGTGATTGGAAATAGTTCTGGAACTTTCCCACCCTTTTACTAAAAATATTCATGAATGTACAGCCTAGTTGATGTTTTGTCAAAAAGAAAGCTTTCTTCACTGTAACCTTCTTTTTAAATTTGGTTAAATTGTCTTACGTAGTTCTTAAAAACAGGAATAATGTTCGCAAGTGTTAGATATTCAGAAAATGTGTGAAGTATTAGAGGGTTGGAGGCAATAGGCAGGAAGCCTTGCTCAACCTAGGTTTCGTTCTAGTTGCCACTTACCAATCAGAAAGGCGGCGTATCTGCAACGTTGAAGGAACTCATGTCCCTTCTGGTGTCACCCAGTACTGCCTGCAGTCAGGAATGTTACCACTGAGCTATTCGGACTCGCCATTGACCTCCTGTAGGACTGTAGTGGATACTTTGCCTTTGATACTTTGACCTTTTTGCTTAGTTTTACATAAAACCTTAAAATAACTATTCTAAGCAGTTATCGCGCACCAGCGTGAACCCTTTGTTTTTTCCTCTGTTCGGATTGCTGGGTTCCTATTGGCTGTTAATACTTTTAATTCACCAATGAATTACTGCATCCTCAAGGTCATTCTGATTGTATATATACAGAGTTTGTGTCTAGTATTTTGACTGTTGTTTGAGACAGTAAAAGCTCTCTTATCGACGTTCAGTTTTTTCTTTTGTCTTTGCGTGCCAGTTGTGTTATCGTAGTTGGTATTGTTGACGTGCGAATGAAACAGATTAGCAGGTGCATTAAATTAGTATTCGCTCTTAGTCTACTAGGTCGTAGTTTCAGTTATAGCAAGTATATTTTAGCGAAGTTCAACAACAGCATCCCAGGAGTGCGAACGCTCCAGTAGCCTTGAACGCATGCTAGTCGTTGGGTCAGCGGCACCTGTCACTATTGTAGCTGAAATGTCAAAGCTATTCACCGACTAAGGAGCAAATTTCATCCAGATCACGTTTTTAAGTACTGTTTGAACAATGTGTTAGTAGCTCGTTAGGATTAGGATTAGAGTTAAGGTAAATAATGGATTTGGGTTAGAATCGGAGTTATAATTAGCATTAGGGTTAGGTTTACGGTTAGGATAAGGGTTGTAATTGGCGTTAGTATTAAATCTAGGGTTAGGGTCAGGATTAAGGTTAGGTCTACGACTAGGGATAGATTTAGAGATGATGTTTATTTTTATTTGTTTTATTATGCACGTTTTCCTGGTAAGTAGTTGTCGATCCTCTTGTTACAAACCATAGTAATTCATATACAGAAACTAGTGTAACTTAGCAACTGATACTCCTCATTATAACTGTGTCGTATTTTTAAGTCATGTCAGAGAACGATACCCTATTTAATGTGTTTTCATGCATTTTCTTGTAAATATACGTCATTTTGTGCAAAAATTCCTTATTTTTATGATTGGTCGGCTCAAGGTCACTCATGCGTTCGCATCCCTGAGACGCTATTGTTAAACTTTGCCTATATCTCAAAGCTAGCAGTTCAAACAGAAAGAATAAAAGTGGATAACATATCAGAATTACTGTGTAAGTCAAAAAAAAATCGATCTTAGGCCACCGCAGTTAAAGGGATTGGAGAAACCTCGTCTATATGCACAATTCAGAGTTCGCTTTGTGCAAAGCAGAAACTTCATCTGTGGACAGAGAATGAAGCTGGAAAACCTTCGAATTGCTTTGGCATACTTCTCTATTGATGTAGAATAATGTGCATAAACAAGGTGCTGAAGAATTAAGTTACTGGTTAGTCATAATCTATCTTTTTAACAACCAGATTATTGGCAGTATTCCCATGTGTACACCTAGATAATAAGTATCCTACTCGTACGGTCCATGTACTTATCTCTAGGGTAGCAAGTGAATTATCATATATATATATATATATATATATTAATGCCGATAACAGGGTTATTTTCTATATGATATTTAGAAGTGCTATTTAACACTATAGCTTTAATGCGAAGTTGGGATAGGAAAATGCCTCACAATGACAGTCCAGCTGCTTTCATTTACTATAAAAAGTGATTTATTTTCAGGTAGACCTCTTGGCACACACATGTGCATCAATAGTTCAATGATAGAAATTACGCCAGTTGCACATGAGAGCCTGGTTCGACTCCGTCTGGAGGCACACTTAAACCTAGCCTAGTTTACCGGTGAGTAGAAAGGTTCAGAGGAGAAAAATTGACAGCGAGAGGTTCGCTCCTTAGTAAACAAAACAACAGAATAACTAGTAAAGCCTCAAAGCTTTAAGCCCTATACTCCACTAAGAACTCAGAATAGAATGTGTGTGTGTTTGTGTGTAAGAACAGTCATAATTATTCACTTACACGTAACAGATAACCTTGTTCCATTTCTTCACGAATACAATCTAATCGATTATCATATGCAGCTTTGATATCTCTTATCGCATTTTGCATAATATGACGCCAATGATCACGATCTTGTTCATCTTGAACAACATTTGTCATTGAACGTAATTCTTGTAATTCTTGTTCATGAACACGACGATGAAATTCCATTTCTTCTTTTAATGTTTGCATTTCTGATTGACATTTCATACGATTAGCTGTTTCATCATCTAAATTCTAGAGAAAATAATTCAAGAAAATGTGATTAAAACTTATGTCAATTTAAGGTCATATATCTTAGTGATTATTTAGAAAAGCTCTGTATGTGCTGTTATAAAAACATGTGTGTGTAACAGTTATAACTTCTCTGATAACCCCAATGTAGGAGCTGACTTCATCTTCTTCTTCCTCATATACTTGAATGACCAAAACAGCATTTGTGTTGGAGGATCGAAAACCTCAGGGTGTAGTAAGAGCTGTCGGTAAGCCAAAACTGTAGACAACAATTTACGTCAATGTCCAAGTCCCGAAGTGGGGTCATGAGAAAAAAACAATATCGAATTTTAACCCTGATGAACTCAACAACTAATCACAGCAGACTTAACGTGTGAAAATACGATTCACAGATATATGGCTCAACTTTCTGAGAAATGGTCACAAGGACTACAGAATAACCTTCAACCAGAAGACATTGTTTCTCTCCTAACAACACTAATAATAATGCACATAAAAATCTATAAATATTCTCAATAAACGATCTGTTTCCTGGCCCTTGTCTTCTGGCGTTAAAAAGGGACAACTGCTTGAGATCAGTTATGTGCATGGCCTGTTTGAAGTATTTTTTTTTGGATTTTTCTCCATAAGAAGACAGAAACACACCATAACTCTTTGAGACTCAGTCTTCTCGAATCCCCTCACCTCATAGCGAAGATACTTACCTCCGTCATATCCCTATTTTCCAGCAGTACGACTGATAGGACCCAGCAGAAAATAGTATAGTGTTAGCGTACCAGTCGAGTTCATTACAGTTATAGTAATTAACAGGCACAGACAAAACAAAGTAGTGACGACCTTTTCAGTTCATCCATAACAACGACCTTGTCTGCAAATCTCTAAAGTAATGAGAGCGACATACACTATGGTAGTAACTACTTAAAGTCTAACTGCTACCTAATTGAATATTCATTCCATTGATATAAGAATAAAACTTGTGCACTGTGGTACAGTGTAATTCCATTATGGGTAAAAATATTCGAAACCTGGTCATTAGTAAACATTAATGTGAGACTTTATCAAAATAAATTTTACCCATAATGGCATATCCATTCCACCAAGTGTATGTCTTTTGGTGATTGTAATATTCGAACCTGAATACGACCAGCAGCATCAAGTTATCAGTTATCGGTGAAGCTTCTCGCATGCACTGAAATCTCAGTTAAATATAATTTTCAAAAAATAACAACTATTGTTTCATTGATATCTATTTCATCCTAGTCCTAAACTCTTCAAAGAACAGTTAACACTAACCACTTCACTAGGAGTAGAAACCAAGGGTTTCTACGTGATCTTATTTTTATTCAAAAAAATAAATTTAGGAGAACGGATTAAAGTTAAACATTCCAACAGCTCAGATATCTTTCCATAATGGGTAAAATTTGTTTTGATAAACTTTCACAGTGTTAAACAGTAATGTTTACTGATGACGTTTCGAGCACAATTTATTGCTGCTCATAATCATAGCAAGGCACTACCCACACAACTTTCTAACTTTATTTATATAATTGCAAGGCAAAATATATAGACAAACAGAAGGTGTAGCAATGGGATCACCAATACCCCCTATTGTAGCAGACATATTTATGGACAGCTGGGAAAATATGGCTCTTAATACATTTAATCCTACTCCAAAAATATGGTGGAGATATGCGGATGACACTTCCATACACAGTGTTAAAAACAGAACATATCCCTCTCTGGCTTCTTCACACACACATAAACTCACTAGTGAGGGGAATAAAATTCACATTTGAATCGGAAAATGAACTAGGAGAATTAGCTGTGATGTTAGATTGTAAAATAAAACGAATAGAAGAGGGTAAACTGCACACTAGAGTTTATAAAATACCAACTCATTCTAATAGATATTTAGACTTCGATTCATCTCATCCGTTAACTGTAAAGGCAGGCTAAGTTAAGCGTCCAAACAAACCGAGCAGTAGCACTAAAGTAGCACAAAAAAGACTTAAATGAGGAAATAAAACAGATAGAAGAAGCGTTAGTGTTGAATAACTATCCGATAAAATGCATTAGGAAGATCGGAAAAGGCCAAAAGCAAAATAAAAATAATTGTGAAACTAGTTATGATAACCTAAATAAGAGAGAATGTAAGGAGGGGACATCCGAGATCCTACGTAGGATTCTGAATAAAGCAGGAATTAGAGTGGCATTCAAACCTACAAACTCAATCACATAGGACATTCTCTGTAGGTTAAAAAGACTTTGTCGGTTGACCCAATTAAACAAAGTAATACAATTTACAAAATGCCCTGCAATGACTGTGAGGTCAACTATACAGGTCAAACTAGTAGGTCAGGAGTAGTCAGATTGTCGGAACATAAGAATTTAGCTAAGGTCAGAATGGTTGACCCCACGAAGATATATAATTCAGAAGAGAGCCCAGAAATTGCACTGCACTGCCTGCATTAACACGCAATTACACACAATATGGTGGGGGAGGGTTAGGATTCTAAGAAGTAATCTAGGTAGGTGGAGAGAAAGGTGGTTGATTACTGAATCCTTGTTCATCGAGTCTACACCCAACATATGCAATAGAAATGACTCATCACTCATACAGGAAATATGGAGAATACTACTACCAATCAGATCAAACGATGAAAAAATATGAAATTATATAAATGAAGTTAGAAAGTTGTGTGAGTGAGTACCTTGATATGATTATGAGCAGTAATAAATTATGCTCGAAACGTCATCAGTAGATATTACTGTAAAACAACACTGTGTGACTTTATCAGAATAAATTTTGCCCGCAATGGAAGGAAGTCTACACAGTTTTCTTTAACTTACAGTAACATTCACTGACTTCAAGAATCGGTGTCGTGTTTTATGTTAACTACTAATAACTGTTATTTTCAGCTATAGGTTTGTAGGGATTTTGCCTGATTGGTTGAAAGATTTCATCATTAGCTGACATCGGCTAGAGAACCATTAGAATACCAGCACTGGAATACTGAACAGCCAGTTGTTTCGTCAGCCTAGTTTGACACTGTGCAGCAGTACGCACCCACAGTGTGGGGTTCTAACACAGGACCTGTAATTTGTTCCTAATAACACTGAAACCATGGACAGTCATGAAACCTACTAAAGGCGACTGCAGTAAATGGGACAGAGTGGAGATGCGCTGTTGAAGTCCTGTGATCCACTTGGAACGCAAAGGAACAATAGTATATACGTTATTAATAATAATCCAAACTGATCTAATTTGACTACTAAACATTTCATAAGCCTTTAATTGAATTTTAGACTTTCGCGACGATTGATTGGACCGAAGTTCTCGGTGTCAGGTCGACATGTCTATTGGTAACTTGTGCAGATGCCTCGACGATGTCTGGTCATCATTTTATTAGAATTGAATCGGTGGATGGTGATGAAGGTACGTCCAGAAGACGAGTCCCGGATAGGACGAAATGTGTTTTATCCTGGATTCCACTGCTAGTCACCATCCACCGATTCAGTTCTAATCAAATGATGATCAGACATGGTTGAAGCATCTGCACAAGAGGCCAACAGGCATGTCAACCTGACACCGAGCACTTCGGTCCAATCAGTCAACGCGAAAGTCTAAAATTCAATTAAATAATTAACGTGACCCGTTGCACAAGAGGCAGTGGCTCTCGTCGCCCAAGTGGTCTAGTGGATAACGCTTTGGTTGGCGTTTGAAACTATGGGAACTGGGTTCGAGCCTCGGTGGGAACATCATCAGTCACTGGGAAATGCAGGGACAGCCAGCTCACGAGTCCCAAATAGGACGAAATGCGCTTTATCCTGGATTCCACTGCTAGTCACCATCCACCAATTAAATCCCATAAGCATATTTCATGTGCATGAAATAACTTGGTAGGTGACTCGATATTTTATAGGTATGGGATTATTAACACAGGCGTAAGAGATTACGTACACCAGTGGATGCTGATCAGGCGTTTTGTTGTCGATGGAAGAGAAATATTGTATAATATCTCAGGTAAGTAAGCTGGATATCAATGGATTTTAAACATACTCACACGTTTTCTGTAAAGGTTTGAAAGACTTCGGATAATACCAGTATCTTTTCTGGATAAAGATTAGAAGTTCAGAAAATAATGAATATCAACACAACCAGCTGGTTGTGAAACCACAGTTGGTTCGTAAAGAATACTTCGTAAAAACACGCCATTTTGTGTATGATTAATACTGTGTCTAGAAGTTTAAAATCTTCTTAGCACAAGTGAAGTTTACATAGACGAATCATGTGTCTACATAAGTGATTATGATGATGATGTTCAGTGAAACAAAAATCTAGGCTGAACCAATGGCTCCCAAATTACCAGACCGGCGTTCTATCAGCTGAGCTAGGAGATCCATCGCGGATCACACTTTCATTTTAGGCCTTATCATCACCCATTAAATGACTTATATAAACCTAACAAGTCCTCCATCTATACTTTAATTAATCTTACAACGCGTCGATGGTTCAATAGTAGAGTGCGCGGCAGCTACACATACACTGGACCCGGGGTCAATCCCCAAAACAGACACTCTCAAACGTAGGCCGGTAGTAAACCCAGAAAAGAAGGAATTTTGGGAATTAAGCCACCAACCTTATCCGATAAAAAATAACAGTTGCTACTGGAAATTCAAAGATTAAGCTTGAAGACCTATATATTTCACTCTGAACTCAAAGGAATAAAAAATACACCAAATTTAATAAGATTATGTCGATCTGGTTGACAAATACTTAGTTAGCGTGGCTAATTTTCAACTACTCAAATCAATCAATCAGTGGTTTGTACAACATTCTATTGAAATATCAGACGCTTCAACCTTATCTTAAATCTGTAGAGTCGACAGTGCTACATTAAAGTATTGGTTTGTAGGGATTTCATTTATTGGTTAGACGATTTCATTATGAGCTGACATCAGTGGGAGAATCGTTGGAAAACCAGCACTGGAGTACTGGACAG